CGCCGCGAAACTCACCCGCAGCCTGACGCTTCTGTGGTGAGCGCCCCTGGTGTGGAGATCTCGGAGCCGTGGCAGTCCCCAGGGGTGTGTGGCACTCCAGGCACGTGTGGGGATGCGCTTGGGTTAGTGGCCTCCGGATAGCTTGCCTGTCCTAAAACTTGAACTGCCTTCAGTTTAGTGAAAGCTTTAGTTGCCCAAAGGTGCCTTTGGTTGGATAGAGGCGCCCGATCCAGCACAGAAGTTACTGATCTGAGCAGTTTGGGAAGTAACCTCCTCATAATCCACTCTGCCCCAAGTCTCAAGGTATGTGTTTATGGCCCTTTTTCTCCTCGTTGAGTTTCAGTGGGTAGGAAGCTCCTGGCACCAGGGACAGGACTGCCATCCTTGTCATCAGTGCCTCTGCAGAAATGGCGGTGCCACACAGCTTTGTCATTGGCATCCTAGGTTCTGAAAAACATCTTACGCTTTTTCTTAGCTGCTTGCAGTTTATAGTTAGGCAGGAGCTGTGGTTTTAGGTAATGGTTCAGGGCATGGAGCCACACCTGCCCTGACAGGTGGGTGAAAGTGTTCAGCCATGAGGTGGAGGAAACACTTCTTAATGTAACCTTGGTGATGACCAAATGTGCCATTTTGTCAACAGTCAAAAGTGGAATACTGAATATGTGCTTACCCCAGACTTCATACTAGAAGTACTGTTTCTGGAGTTACCCAAGTGTTTCATTCTTCATGTCCGTGACTACTTAAGTCAGAGCATTAGTGTAGCTGTGTGTAGTCTGCCTGTATCACTGCTCAAGTTGGATATAATGCTTTCGGAAAGGAGGTTAAAAACTTTGCTAAAATTTCCAGCAAGCCTAACGTGAAAGATCTTTATTGGGTGAAGCTTGGAACGAGGGACACGATTTCACACAGACACTTGCAACGACAGTGGATGGAAGGTGACTGTTGGACACTGCTGACCAACACCTACCATTGGGTGGGTCATTGGGTGTCTGAATAATGGGCACTGTAATTCACATCTGGTATTCTAAGCTACCTTGCTCCTTAGGTACTACAGTTTTTTGAGATCTTAATGTTAGAATAACTTATCAGCCTATTAGGCTGAGCACAAGCTCCCTGTTAACGATTCTTTTGGCGAAGTAAAACCTGTGAGACAATGTTACCTCTATATATGGCAGTAACCACCCATTACTGGTCTGCAGTGTCCAGTTTGGTGTCCGTGCATGGGAAGGGATGCTGATGAATTGGAAAGGGTTCAGAAAAGAACTGCAGAAGTATTTAGACATCTGGAAACTGGATTGTACAGAGTGAGGTAAACCCAATGCATTGAGCTTCTTATCAGGAAGTGTAGAGCGGTGCTTGTATCAGATTATAGCTATCCATGCAAGGAGAAGAAAGCAGCTCATTAGCAGATGGGGTAAAGCAAGATTCAGTGACAGGAATTTGAAGCTGGATGTTTGCAAATTAGGAATAAGGCACGTTATTTAGTGTACTAATGTAACTGAAGAGTATAGGATTGATTATGTCTCTTCAAAACTTGTAAGATGTACAGGAAACTTTTTTGACAACAAATACTTGAAAAATTAGAACGTATATGATGGATCATCACATACTTCAGATACTGAAGTGTGATCTTTGGTATTAGAATGTGCAGCATTTCCATTTAAGTGAATGAGAATTCTGCCTGCATAAGCAAAACCCAGGTCCAAGTAATAACAAAATACGTGCTGCAGAAAGATCAGATAACTGTAGTCTGGATTCTTTCCCAGGTGCTTCCTTCGTCAACTAGTGTGTATGGTATAGTTATTCACTGCTGAAATCAATGAGTGCACAGCATTGATTATACCTGGAACAAGTCTGAACACAGTATTTCAGCAACAAGAAACCTTATTTTTATGAATTCTTATGCCTATTTAATACGAAGTCAATGTATGCACCTTAAGCTGTATAGATCTGCTGTTCAAGATTAATGATAATTCATGATTTTTGTGAGATTGTGACCTTGGACCGTGAGTAATAATGGTTGAATATTGTTTCAAAATAGTGCCTTACCTGTTCATTACAATGGCTTAGTGTTTTGTGATATAGATCTGTTCTAGTAAAAAGAATATGCGTTGACTCATTTGACTAATTTATTTATTTCTTCCTTCATTTCTTTTTTTTTCTTTTTTTTTCTTTTCAGGAAAAGAAACGGAACAAGTTCAATAATTGTCCAGTCTGACATCTTACTGGTATCTTAAGGAATATTACAAATACTTATTCTGAATTGAGAAAATGACTGCAAATGTAGAAGAAAGTACAGGTTGTTGGGAAAGAATACCTGTCAAAAGGTGGAACATCCAGTAGTTAATTTGAAGTATAAATATACCTGTTATGGTGCGACTCTGGAGTGGAGTTAACTCTGTAGCACACGGGTAGCTCCCCAAGGAGGAAGAAAAAAAAAAAAAGGCGCTTTCTGGTTTTTTGTTTTTTGTTTTTTTTTTTTTTTTTTTAAATTATGGAAATCTTTTGGAAGACGTGGACATGGATTTTGAGCCTAGTCATGGTTACATCAGAACTTCATGGTGACAACAGGCTTTCGTATAGTTCTCAAGGTAGGGGTTAACCTCTAGTTGATAAGAAGCATCTATTTTTCCATTGCATGTGGGTAGTATTTTCTAAACCATGTTTATATAATTCATGAGATCATATGGTCTGTGCTCTTAGGTTTATCATGATTTGTTGTCATGGAAGTTTATACACAGCAAATCCGATTAAATATTTATATTTAATTTCTTTCTGTCTACTTTTAACTGTAGGAAAGCCTTGCAAATTAAATCCAGTAAAATGTTGTACTTGATTATAGTTTAAGGACTTACCATAATACTAACATGTTCTTAAACTAGAAAATTAGGATCTAATCTTACAGTGATCCATTAACATCTGTAAGTTTTTAATGAAATGAAGAGCTGTTTACATGTTTTTAGGTTAGAATTTAGCCCTGAATATTTAGGTATTTTGGGTAAATGGGAAAAGATATTTAGTTAAGAACTTGTGTATTTCCAGTGACATCAAATTAATAGCAAGCTGAACACATTTTCTTGACTTGGGGAAAAAAAAAATTTAGTAAAATGCTACATGCTGTATTTAAAAGAATGACAAAAGATTATTTTTATTTGTGAGTATGATAAGATTTAGCCAAGTATGGTTTATGCTTATAATACTACTTGTTATTTCCTGTTGTATTTTCTTCTCTTCTATGCCCACTCCTTGGACTGTCTTACCTTGTGGTTACAAAGAGGAATTCCTGTCTTACCTTGAACATTACCAACTAACAGTCCCAATAAGGGTTGATCAAAATGGAGCCTTCCTCAGCTTTACTGTGAAAAGTGCTAAACCCTCAAGAAGGAGGAGGAGTACAGACCCTTATGACCAAGAACTGGCAGCATCTAAATTATTTTTTAAACTTTCTGCCTATGGCAAGCACTTTCATTTAAACCTGACTCTCAACACAGATTTGGTGTCCAGACATTTTACCGTAGAGTACTGGGGGAAAGATGGACCACAATGGAAGCACGATTTCTTAGACCACTGTTACTACACAGGATATTTGCAAGACCAGCACAGTACAACTAAAGTGGCCTTAAGCAACTGCAATGGTCTGGTAAGTGCACATTACATGTTCTATATAATAGTGGTTTTGTCCCTTTCAAATTACAGAAGAACAGCTTACTTAATTGGCGTATTTTTCAGTTTTCTGAGTCCCTGCGGGAAACATGCAGACAGAAGGGTGCAGAAATCCCCTAAAACCTGATCTGGGTCCCGGGGAAAAGTAGCCATCAGTTTTCAAGCTGAATTTTAAGTACTAAGACCCAATTCTTTAGTCCTTTCACAGGCAACTTTTTCAGTGTTTACAGTGTCTGCACTAGGGCTGTGAGATTTGGTCTGTGCTGGGATCCTTACAGGTTATGAAAGTGTTACAAGATCAAAGGGTGGGAAGGAGGAAATAGTGGATCCTTTAGAATGCCGTATCTCTCCACAGATACATTGAACCGAACACTTGCTTGTTGTCTTTGAGAATCTGGGTTTAGAAACTTTTGAGTAAATAACAGAGAAGAGGAATTGCTCATGGTAGAAGTTGTCATTGCTATAAATTCAAAGAGTGAAGAAGAAAGTAGATCCTTTGCAAGTACCAGCATCAGAAAGTAATTATTTACTTTTTTTAGAAATACTTTGTTTACAAATTGTAAACAGTTGCATTTAAAACTAGGTTTGGAAATTCTCATCTCTTCTTATTCTTCTTTTTCTGTTGATCTCTTGATCATGGCATCTTGCATGGGATAAAGCTTCTTTTGTTCCCAGCAGAAATCAGAAAACAAACACAAGATACTTTAAAACCAGACTATTGGGTAACAAAATACTAAAATAGAAGAGCATGACTAGGAAATAGTAAATCAAGAGCCAGTAATTTCTCTAGTAAAAATGAATGTATGTATAACAGTTACTCTTTCTGTTTTAATTCTATTAGGACAGTGGTCAATCTTCTTATTAGGAATAGGCACATCTAACTAGTTGCTAAGGAAAAAAAAAGATTACATAAACTTGCTAGACTAATTCCTGTTTATCCTTGAAAAGGCTATTGAGTAGTGCATCTTGGGATGTTATTTACAAATAAAAGCCAGCTGCTTCAGACCTAGATGGGTTGTGTTACATCCAGCTACTTGTGGTATCCCTGATGCACTCCAAATTAATGTTTTGAGTACTCTTCAGGAAAAAGAATTTAATGAGGATTTCCAGGGCTAAGCGAACACTTTCTGAGAAGCGTAGTTAAAATGATGTTCCATTGAATGTGGTATGAGAGCTTGATTAATGCAGATACGTAGTGGATAGGTCTATATTTAGTACAATTTCTCTTTGGTTTTGCAGTTCCCATATAATAAACTCTTTTTGTCACAGTTATTTAAGCTCTTAAACTAATAGACTCAGCCATTTTGCTTTTGAGTTCTTTTCAGCTGAACACGGTATGGAGACCAAATCCCCACTTTCAGGATTTGCTTCTTACGTACATGCATGCAGCATCTTTTAATCTCCAGAGTTTCTGCCAGCTGAGGCACAGAGCGGTTGGGTCCCTTGTAGCCTGCAGTCATGCACCTGCCCATGGTGCTCTGCTTTCAGTTCCTCTCTGACCCTGGCCAGGGAGTGAGCCAAGAATACCGGCAGAGGGGTGCAATGGTAGGCTCGACTTGGTGTCCTCCGCTACCATACAGAAACACCTCTGTCATCCAGTGTTGGCAGGGCCGTCTAGATACTGAGTATGGGAGTTACCGCTCCATTCAGATAAATCCATTGCAGAGTTATTTTTAAATGGTGATTCCCACTGACAAATATTTTGTTATACAGCTGCTGGTTAGAACATGTTTAATAAAGCAATTGGCAGTAAATATTGAAGACAATACTTGTTTTAGAATTAATGATAGTTCAGAATATGTTGTGCTTAAGGCATTTGTTGTAATTTCCAGACTGATTGTTGGTCTGCAAGAAACCGCCAGTCGCATTCTGTATAGTCCTTGATTAACATCTGTCTCAAAGCCTCATTTTAAGTTTAAAACATGAAGTAATGTTTAACAGTGAGTGTTGCTCACAAGCACAATTTAAGCATTCCATTTATTTCTGTTCTGTTAGGCTTCAGGATTGCCACATGAGTCAGGTTTCTTCCCCTTAGTCAATGTTTTGTGTTAGCTCTGTTAACAGAGGGTGGTTGGGTGAGACCATGATCTAATTAACGTAAATAGTATGACTTTGAAGAATACTTGTATCTGAGATGAGTTGTAGTGCAAGGAGGGCTTTCTCTCAATGGAATTATAATTAGAGTGATGAGCAGTCATTTCACTTCACTGTCTTTGTTTTCTGCTTCAGCCTCTCCCTCTATATTTCTCATTACCAAGTGCCCTAGAATTACAGGCTGCTACTTACTGAAGTTTCATTCCAGCAATTTCCATCTGCTGGGCCCTGATTATGCTATAAATTGTCTGAAGTTCTGAGGAAAGCTCTGTAATCCAGTGAGCAGTCATGTGAGGAAATTGAAGGTCTTGTCCGGCAGGCTTGCTGGCTTCCAAACTCATATTTAGTGTATGTTACATTTGTGGATGGATTGCAGGTTTGGCCTTCTTATGAAAGAGCCTGCGATAAGCAGCATTTTAGGGCCTTTGGATGTTGGGTGCAAGGCAACAAGCCTGAGGCATTGCTGAAGCTGAGTATCTCATCCTGAAGGAAAGAAGAAACTGTGTTAGACTGGCTGAAGAGAGAACTTCAACTCCAGGGAAAGTAGTTTGTCTAATTCTAAGGGTACCAGGTCTTAAAGAAGAATAGCTTTAGAGCTCATAGTAGTGGAATAGACCAGAAAGCAAACCTTTTGCATTCTGACCCACCTCTGTCCTCTGCCTAGTGTCAAAGCTCTTAACTGAGTGCTTAAAAAAGTTTTCCACAATAGCGGCTATGCTCATTTTGAGCTAGAAGTCCAGTGTTGGGAAGTAGTTTAAAATGTGCAGAAAGCGATTATTACTAGGAAGGTGTATGAGAAGTTAAATCACATTTTGAGGTTACTATGATTCCAAGGTTAATGGAAAAAGCTAGATATTTCCATGGTGTGTGAAATTTCATGCACTAAGTAACATTCGTGCTGGGTAGCACAGACGTCTATCCAAGCAGAAATGATAAAGAAAGCACAGTTAAGTAGGATGTGGCTAAAAGCATGACCTTGCTTGGTTAAAGGCGGAATTACTTTGCTGGAAGACTTCACATTTGTTTCATGTTTTCCTAAATAAATTACTCATAGTCTTCTTAAATTAGCATATTTGAGAGCTCATTCTGTCATAAAGAAGTAATAGAATCATAGAACATCAGGTTGGAAGGGACCTCAAGGATCATCTGGTCCAACTTCATCTCCTTTCATAGATTATAAATTGCATATAGTATGGCATTTTTGAATCATATGTACAATAATTTATGAAGATTAGAAATTATATTGAAATTTCTAATCTTTGTAAAGATTTAGTGTTCTGGATCAGGGTTTTTGGAGCACTTTTTGGTAGTAGTATGTATTTGCAGTGTAGATGTAGTATTCAGAAAATTATATATAAACTATCCCTGTCTTAATTTGAGGTGCCTCATTAGATTCTATGATTACTGTCTCAGGCCAGGTAATATATTTTTTTTTCCCCGTCTTCAAGAACACAGTAACCTAATGCAATCTTTTTCCTCAGCTGGCAGCGTATAGCCAGCTGTAGACATACTGAACAACATTGACATGTTTTCAGATGTTTCCATTACTACTACTTTATAGTAAAAATGGGTAAAGCATAAAGCCTAGAAATGTTTGAGGCATGGAGAGATTGTAAAGCAGTAGTACTGTGTGGAAAAGACACACATATACTTGTCCTTCATAATGCAGTTAGCTTCTGCGACTGATGGACATCCCCCATCTGAAGGAAGTTAAGGCCCCATCTGGACAGCCTAACAGAAAAAGATTCCTTTTCACAAATTCAGGGGAACTCCATGTGGATTCACAGATTTGCCTAAGCATGTCAAACTGCTGGATCCAGACCTTATATATGTTAGCAGGACTTGGCAGACTATAGTGGGATTGGATAACACAGGACCTCAAACAATCTGTTTTAGATAATAATCTTGGGAATGTTACTTGTAGTAACTTACTTCGGGCATTCAGCTTGTTTCTTAAATTCACAGTATTTTGTAAAAACCTTTTTCTGGTCATTCTTCTGTTTTAATGGTATTTCTTATGTTTTGGAGCAGAAGTTTAATTTACAAACTGTCCAAAAACAATAATAAAACTAAAAAAGAAAAATATCCTTTTAATGCTCTAAAAGGGCATTATTTCAGTCATCTTTTTCAACTGAAATTGTGTTCTACTCTAGTAGATTATAAGCCAAAAATGGTGTTTAGAATGTTGGTTTGGATATAATAGCGTAATTCCCACTATTAATCAGGCATTGCTGAATGCATGTACAATTGAAGTATCTGTAGCCACATGTATTTTCTAACTTTGTAGTTAGAGTAAATGGTGGTTGTCACTGACTTTCTGTGTACAGAATTGAGAGTGCTTCTTAAAAATCAGTCACTGCAATTTAACAAGACCACTTGCATCAGGTTAATACTGGGAGAACAGTTTTGTTTGCAAGCAAAATGGTACATTTGGTATATGTATACCATTTTAAACGTGGTTTATGTGAAGGGCATATGTGTAGCAAGTTCATTTCCAATGTTTATCAAATTACCTGGCTAGCTGCAGCAACCGACTGCATTCATGTTCTGAATACCTGGTGATAGGTGTAAAATAAAATTTATTTGCAGTTCTCAGCTAAATGTTATTAAAATCTCAAATCACCATAGTGCTTGGGCAGATGAAATCAGATGTCAACTAGGCATAGGGAAAATTGGTGATACTATCCTAACCTTTTTCACTGCCCATACCTGAAGGGAGGATCATAGTTTGCAGACATTAATAATAGGTTTTTTGCGTATTTGCTCTTGCAAATGCGCAATTTGTATGGAAGGTTAATGCTGCAATTAAGTGTCATTTATGGCACCCAAACTGACTCCCACTAAGGTTGTTGCGCTGCTTAAAGCTATCAGTTTCAGCTTCTGGTATAAATCTCTCATACTTAGACTTGTTGACCTTGCTGGACTTCAATACAGGCATGAAGGATGTATGCCTCAGAGTAATCAGATTTAGGTTCAGACCTGCTCTGTTGCAGAGACAGAGCCACAGGTTGGATGGTACCTTTGTCCTCTCAGGCTTGTCATTAACCAGACAGCCTGATGGCGTTGGCCAGGACCACTCTGAGGGACTCTTCTCCTGTGGGAGCATAACAGCAGAGCTTATAATGGCTCAGGATTCGCTTGAACCCAGATGTCTGACATCCCAACTGGATGCAGTCCAGACTTTTAGGGTTCTTTCTGCACATCTGGCAAACCCAGTTACAATTTGGTTTATATTTTAAATACTGTTTAAGCAACAGTGTACTAGTAAATGATTTTCTAGTAAAATCTAGGACTTTAAGTAACAAAAAGACATTGTGAGAGGAATTTGATACCAACATCTTCCAGATTAAATAGACACTGATGTTACCTTCTTGAGAAAATAATTGAGTTCATAATGAAAAATGCCACTGAAGAGGAGCAATTACTGTTACAGTCACTGTACATAGTCTATACAAGGAATATGTAATTGAAAGCTGCAGTGTGTTCGTATGTATATTTTTGAAACTGGTAAGGGGGTTATATTTGGAAAACACCGTTCTTTCTGATGTGTTATACAGGATTTTTTTCTTAAGTTCTATGTTGTTACTGGAACCTGGTTATTCCTGAAGTAAAGAACAGGAGGCATTTGATGTGCAAAACAGCAGCAGGTCTGAGAGCTTTGACCAGAAGTACATTGGCAAGCCCTGATCTTAGAAGCAACTTTAGGATATTTAGAGCAGATAATGGAACAGGTAGTCTCATGGCTGATCACAGAAGTGTCGTTGGAGGGAAAAAGATAAGCCCTTCAAAAAAAGGTTCATGCAGAGTACTTTACAGATCAAAGGTGTGGTAGAAATTTGTGATTCATCAAATCAGAATATGAATGCAGAAGTCCCTGCTTCCGCTCTCCTATCTCATGAGTAGCTCTTGCAGTGTAGAAAATTCGTACATTCAGAATTTTCTAGATATGGGTACCAGAATTTTTTATTTAGCAAATATGGGGGTAGAAGTCTGTCAGTGCTTATTCCACAGTATTTCTATATCCACAAGGATGCCCACTGGATTTTCTGCTGAAGTTCTGTTTTAATTGCTGAAGTTTGAGGAAATTGCATAGTTGGCCTGAAATCTCCTCTTTCTTCCATAAACCACTTCCTGTTTGGAAGAGTCTGAGTTCACAAATGTGGAAGTTATGAGAATAGAGTATCTACTATTCTGCACTGCAGTATGAGAGGAAAAAAATGTTCATTTATTATGGAGAATGAGGTCTAGTGCACAGTTTGCAACAACTTGGATTTGCCAGATTTGTGGCAACACTTTTTAAGGAATAAATGCTTTGTAGACAGTGTAACCCAGGTTAATATTAATAAATTTGATTTTAATAACTAGCTCTGTTTAGGAATGAAACATCTGGATGTAAAATGCTGAATCCCTGAATATATGTTGTAAAATTAATCCTTGGTGCTGTTTTCCTTTGATGTATTATGTGGCTTTAAGCATTGACCAGTGTGGCATGATAGGGGGAAATTGGTCTTGCCATTTGAGCAAGACCATTTTTGGCTTGGCATTTTAATGGATATGAATCATGTAGTTTTGGAACATCTCTGAAGAAATTATTTGTCATTTACCAAGAATATCCCTTGCTTTTTTACCACATCCACCAAAAATGATTGGAAAGAACTCCAGAAGCAGGGCAATTACATTTTTATGCTTATTGTGTTGCTTATAGGTCCTTACTTTTGTTCCTACTAAAATGAGTGGAGAAGAGCTGGCTTATGCATTGATTTCTGTGTTGGCTTATAGTAGTGGATTTCTTCAGAAACAGATGATTGTCAAATGTTTTTTAAAGTTAAGCTTTCAGTAGGAGTTGTATACTGTCTTTTTCAAGTGTTTATTTTCTTATTTTCTTCTTTAAGCATGGAGTGATTGCTACAGAAGATGAAGAGTATTTTATTGAGCCTTTAAGGAATATAACAGAAGATTCTGGTAACTTTAATTATGAGAACGGTCATCCTCATGTTATATACAAAAAATCTACCATGCACCAGCAACATCTCTATGATCACAGCCATTGTGGAGTCTCAGGTAAATGAATATTAGCATCATTCCTGTTAAAAAATTATAACTTAAGATGTATTTTAAAATTTTGTTTGGTTTACATGTAAGACACAGCAGAGAATGTAGCAATGAGAATCCTCCTCTTGGGTGATGCAGTGTGCCCTGCTGAAAAGTGAGTTTGGTTTTGTTTTTTTTTTTTCCAGATTCAGATCTAGAGTAGAGTGTCTTTCAAAAACTGAGACATTCGAGGAAGCCTTGTTTTATGCCTGTGTTGTGTATTGTGGTAGTGACGAGCACAGGCTTCCTCAAAATGTGCTATAAATACACTTTGTTCCCCAACTGGAAAGCGTAATTGGTTGACTATGTATTACAGCTCAATGTTCAGTACGTGTTCTATCTCATTTGAGAAAACTGGACATGCAATAAATGTGTTAGTATTACGATTACGATACATTGGAACTTTTCTTTTTGTGGGGGCTTACGGTGTTTTGATACTGGCTTTTGGTTCACTGGGTTAATATTATTCCATAACTGTCAGGTACTCATTTTACAGGTGCTTTATAAGAAGGATTATGAAGTTTTGATTGAGAAATGTTCACCTTGTAAAGCAGTTTTAACTTCCCCAAATAGACTTTTCATGTACTCTTTGACACAGTTTTCTCTTGCCTAAAGTGAAGCTGAATGCTAATTTCCTGAAGGCAGCATGGGGTAAATCTGAAAAGTTATTTTAGAACATTAAAATAATGCATTTTTAAATAATAGAAAAATGTTCTAATCTTGTCATTTATTTATATCTCAAAAATAGCTTGTTCTTAAAAGTTCAGTCCTTGACAGTTTGTATTCCATGAGATTCCATGTACAGGTCAGGCTAACAAATACTAATTTTACAATAACATAGTATCACTGTCCATTTATATAACTTACTTCAGCTTCTTTTGGAGGTTGTAGCCTTTACTAGCACCAGCTGACTAAATTTACAGTACAAATTGTCTACAAAGGCCCATGCTTGGGAGTCAGTTTTTTCCTGAGTGTTCCAGTTAACTGACATTAAATCTGACATTTATAGAATGTCAGATTTTATGTATGTAACTTTTGTTATAGTTTAGAAACATTATTCTATCTTTAGGTTTGATATAAGGAAGAGGTTCTTCACAGTGAGGGTGGTGAGGCACTGGAATAGATTGCCCAAGGAAGTTGTGAATGCTCCAACCCTGGAGGTGTTCAAGGCCAGGCTGGACAGAGCCTTGGGCGACATAGTTTAGTGTGTGGTGTCCCTGCTTATGGCAAGGGGGGGGTGGAACTAGATGATCTTAAGGTCCTTTCCAACCCTAACTGTTCTATGATTCTACGTGCTTCTAATATTGCAGAACTAGTCTAATAATTGCTGCCTGCTAATAAGTTGTAAAGTGAGAGTACTGAAGTATGTTCATCGTATAGGGAAACCTGTCACTTAAGACTCTTGAAATAAATGGAAGGATTATGAAATGTAGGATGATGTAATTTTTAGCATTATTATATCTCTAGAAAAAGAAAGGCTGTTGGCCTCTGTCAGATGTTATCTTCTAGATTAATGCTTAGGAAGTTATTTTACTTCAAGTGAGGATGAAGTGCTGGCAGCTGGTTTGGTCAGGTTGCATTCAGTCATTCTGGTGGTTGTTCTATCTGTTGTACGGCTCATAGGCTGATCAGAGCTATGCCTCTTGTGTGCATTTTTCGTGAAGCATACAGTAATCTTTAGCATTTAGTCCTTTGCCTATTTGATGCTGCTTTTGTTCGTGGAAGCTCCTGTGCATTTCCTGAGGTTTCGTATCTGCCACATCCTGAATTCCTTAATTATTCAAATACTAAAGCACTGCTTTTTCAAGCCTGGGACTACTAACATGCTCGCTCATCCCAGTTTTTCCTTTTCCTGTTGTTTTGTATACTACTTTCACTCCATGAAAATTTCTGAAAAAATTTGCTCTCCCCAAAATGACAATGTTTTGTTTTCCAGATGATGTGTTACTTCAGTGTTCCCCTCATGGGTACCAGAATCTTTTAAACTTGTTTTCTCAGCACTGTTGCAGCTTTATCCCAAAGAGACATTGCATCCAAAGTATCCCTAGAACATCCAGAAAGGAAAATAAAATCTTAATTTTCAGTTTCACAGCTTTCAGACTCTAGGACCAAAACCAGGTTTACAGTAGTCTTGAGGGCATTTGACTGGTTTTGAAAGTTTTAAGCAGTCCAATTTTGTGTTTTAAAATGCAGTCGCAACAAAACTTTAGCTGCCCTCTGGCAGTATATAATTTATTTTTACTTAACTGAGATGAAAGTCTTTAGACAATCAAAACAACTTCAGATTTCCTGCAATAGACATGAAAACCAGGAAAAAAGCTTAGTATTCGTTATAGAAGCCTCAACAAGGCCTTAATACTTGGTATGTTTTTTTAGAATGGATCTTACCTGTTGCAGAAATAGGGTAGTTTTGTTACTAGTATTTTTTCAACTACTAGGTTTATTTTCATTTTTTTATTTTTCTAAAATACGCACCTTTTTAAAGGCAACCCTGTGTCCTCAGAAATTATGAAGCACTGTAACAGTGGGAATGCTGAAGCTTTGTATTCCTGGGTTTGACCTGAACATACATTCTTTGTGGTGTAGTTACTGCTCTTGGAGAATAGTATGCTTCATTGAATTGCATAAAACATTGCTTTTTCATGGAAAGTGCTGTTATTATCTTAACTCATCCTTAATTGAACCTGTTTTAGTAGAGGTAAGGCTGCATCACAGAAATTGCTCACTTGAGCAGTGCAGTTCAGACAATTATAAATGTATCTGTTAGCATTCTCATGTTCATCCCTAACTAGCAAGGATTCCTTGGATATTTTGAAATCCTACTTAGGTAAAACCAGACTAATAATATACTTCTATAAAATTAAGGTTGAGATCTATGTGGGTCTTTGTGGAAAAGGGGTATTTAATATATACAAAAATATCAGTTTTGCAGGGAAAGGTGGGTTCAATTTTGTCCCGAGGACAGGCATTCCCATTCAGAGTAAGTCTGTAGTGTTTGTTTTGGATTTTTAATAATAAAATCTCTTGCATGCAAGAAATATTTTTTCCTATATATTTATGTGAAACAAGTACAAGTATCAACATGTTTGAATTAAAATGAGTATTAAAAATAACTGTAGCAATTATCCCATGTCAGGCCATTTTAAACTTCCCATTATAGTTAATTCATAAGATAAAACATAGCCTGATAGCTTTCTGAAGAGAAAATGATTTGACCTGAAAACTATTAGGCAGGTAAGCATAATTGCCTAATAATTGCAGAGTTGCACAGGAGAGAAAAAGCTTTTTTTGGTGTCTTAGCAACATGTTTAATTCCTTAGTATGTTTTGATACCTTTTATCTTGATCTTGAATTTTTGGTTTCCAGTGTGGGTTTTTTTTCCAAATGTTATAGCTGTTTTGTTTGTAGCCTTAAAATTCTGAAGTGTGCTTGCAGTTAATTATAACTAATCTTTAGTATTAACATAGATGTGCAGAATCAGATCCTTTAAGAGAAGATTGATCATTTAGTGTCCTAAGTCAAGTTAAGGAAATTTGGGAACATCAGAACTCAAAGTTGGTTTTCCATTACATGAAGTATTTTACAGTTAAAAAAAAAATTACTTTTGTTTTATTGCAAGAAATATTTCTTTAGAAGCTTGAAGATTGTAATCTCAGTGCATAATCTCTGAAGTGTTTAATTATTTTGGTTCCTAGAAGACCTGACAAGAAGTGGTAAACCTTGGTGGATGAGTGATGCATCTGCTTTTCCAGCTTCACTTCCAGTCAATGACACGTTAAGTAGTCATAGTCGACAGAAGAGATCAGTAAGCCTTGAACGGTTTGTGGAAACGCTGGTAGTAGCAGACAAAATGATGGTGGGATACCATGGTCGCAAAGATATTGAGCACTACATTTTGAGTGTGATGAATATTGTAAGTTTCATCCCTTTCTGTGTTTATATCAATATGCATGTACTGAAATGATAAAGCAACTGTAGAGTATGTATTGGCATGAGTAATGTTTTAAAATATATACCAGGTTGTAGGAATTAATAGTTAAATATGGCAAATGTTAGCATGGTGGGAAAAATGCAGTACTGTTTCTGTCAATAAGTATACTGTGATCATTTTTAAAGTACTGTCTTCAATTTTAAATTCATATGATTACATTTAGATCACACATGTATATTCTGTTTAAGTCGAAAGTCTTAAGTGATCCTTGTGCTGCATGAATTATGAAACAAGGTATAAACAGTTTTGATTGAAAAGTGTAACCCAGTAAGTTTGCTTTACTGAATGGTCATTATGAAATTACATTGAGTGAGAAAACAGGTTAATTCTTAACTATTTAGGAAAGAAGTAGTGTTTCTTGTCTGACTTTGTGCCTTTTCTTATTTTCTGGAGGTCAGGTTGCCAAACTTTATCGTGATTCCAGTCTAGGAAACGTTGTGAATATTATAGTGACACGTTTAATTGTCCTCACTGAAGATCAGGTAAGAGATGTTCCATTAAGCTTTATATCCCTAAAATAAAATTTACATTGTTGTTTAATACAGATTACATTTAATTATTTCTTGAAATGGCTGCATCTGAGTACAAAATCTATCTTGTAATCTTTCACTACTTTAATCAAGACGGAACAGTTTGGAGGAATATTCCTAATGTATCATCTCAAAGATATCTGTTCTACTTCAGGTGAATATAAATACATTTTTGGGGATGCCGTTTTTTTTTTTTTTTTTTTTTAATTTATTTATTTATTTTTGAATTGACATAATCGTTATTAAAGTTGGAGCAGAAGGAATGACTGTTCAGTAATACACAGCTGAACTTGGGGTCGGATTTTACAGAGATAAAATTTGGCAAGAAGAGTTTATTCCTAGAAACCACTGCTTCTAATTATAGTCCCATTTTAGTTTTCAAAAGGCTTAACAACTGACCTTAGTAATTTGTTTGGAACATTTCTGGTATGCATGTTGTATTGCAGCCAAACTTGGAGATAAACCACCATGCAGACAAGTCCCTCGATAGCTTCTGTAAGTGGCAGAAATCCATTCTCTCTCACCAAAGTGATGGAAACACCATTCCAGAAAATGGGATTGCCCACCATGATAATGCGGTTCTTATTACTAGGTATGGTCATTATAAGTATTGTGTTTATTTTATTCTATTTTATTTCTTGTTCTTAGCATATATACATACATATATATATATATACACATATGGGCTGGTTGTAAAATAATATAATTGGTAGGTAATCTTAAGAGAAGGAAAGCTAATAGATGGGTTGTCGTAACTACATCTTAAGACTATTAAACTATAGATTAAGAGTTGGGAAAGTAAGATCTGCAGATTACTGTCTTCTGCTGCTATTTTAAATTCATAATTGCCAATGCAGAGTATTACAGTAGAACAGATGGATCCTATTGAACATTTTATACTGTCATAATTAAAAATAATTCATAAGGTTATGGAGAACAAAACAGTATGGAATATGTTTTGTTAACCATATGTAATGTTTTTTTGTAAGAATTTCAAACCTTGTAATAGTAGTTACGCCAACTGCTGTAATAGTATTTCTGCTGAAAAACAAGTTCTTGCAGATTCAGGCAATGTGAGAATCTGCTTTGTAGCTGTTTTGATTGATAATGCTTAATTAAGATGAGAACTGACAGTTTTAATAGGTAGTTTCACAGCCTGCATATATCCCCATTTGTCTGCTTCTGTTCCACTGTTACTGTGATCAGTTCAGCAAAGCTTGCACTGTAATCTTGCAATCCTGATATATGTGTTCCTGTTTGTCCTTTGCAGTTGCGGGTAGGCAGCTATACTTTATTAGGAGATCGGTTTCCCCATTGTTTAAGGATACTATGTATTCTTTTCTGGTTTGTTTAAATAGCAGCAGGTGCAGCAGCACATATTTGGATTAGGATCTTTTTAGAATAGTTTCTGCTTTCCAGGACAGTGTGACCTTTTTGTGGAAACATTGTGTTCACTGCAGAAGGTTTTAAATAGTGATTAAAATAATGGATCTTTTCTGGAGTTTTGTGCAAAAGGTGTTAAAAGTGGCTATTTTTTTGGGGGGATGGATGTTTTTTGTTGGTTTTGCTTTGCATAAGGAACAACTTTTTTTTTTGTGAGGAACAAAAAGCTAATCACTCGTATGTATTTTTGCATTCATATTTCAAATATAGTTGTTATATGTGGTCATTAACACTATGTAGTGACAATTAAAATAATTAAATGCCAGAGTGATTTAGACAGCTGTTACAGTCCAAGAATTTTTAGAAAATAATATTTAAGTCCCTAATAGAAATAAATAGAATGAAATTCAAAATAAAATACAGTTCTATTAAAAGATCTTGATTTTTTCAGAAAGGCCTTCATTTATGCTCCATTTTTTTGCATACAGGGAATTCCTTCAGTAGGGCTGCTCACATGTGAAATTAAATGCCTCTTTACTGCTGTGCTACATACACATTAAGCTTTCACTGTTACAATTTAGGCAGTCAGTGAAAAAGTGTAATCCATAGGTGGTATGTTGGTTTGTGGCAGTTGAAGCCCCCCATTATGTATGTGTAAGCTGTGTTGGCAGCACTATATTTTACTGTTACGTCTGAATGGCTTGATGTTTTGTTAGTGTTATTCTGCCACTGCAAAGCACAGTTGTTTATTTTCTTTCACTGTTTTGCTTTAATATGTTTTATTACTGTATATTCTGTACTGCCTTGCCTGTTCTGATGGGATGTTCCCAGCACAGTTATAAACAGTTCTGTGTTCCAGACAAAGGCTTAAGTCAGTGGAACTTTCAGGCCTTAAACTGCAAAAGGAGCAAGTTTTCAGAGAACATGAATAATACCCATTGAAAATTAAGATTTT